CCCAGGTTCAGGAGATTGGACTTCCGGGAAGTGATCTTTGGCCCATGGCCGGTCCTCCATGTTGGCACGGTGACGACGACGCCTCGGGCTAGGTTGCGATGACTGGGGCTTGCGTGGGCCCTGATTAGAGTCCTATTCTTCGTCGACGTAAGTCGTTCTCGTTAAGGTGGGAGCGAAATCTGCGTCACGAAAGAGCGTGGCCAAAAGACTCGGCGGGTACGGGCGTGTCTCGACCTTCACGCTGAGTTTCAGAGGCTTCACCCACCCAACTGGAACAGGCAAAGACGATTCGGCGAAGGATAACTCCACGTCCTGAAGGGAGGTGTGCCATGCGCCGGGGTTGTGGCGGGACAGTCGCGGGAATATGCGAGTGCGATTGTTCCATCTGTCGATGTGGTCACCAGGGCAATCATGCGTAGTGTCCGGTGTATGACGGTCTTCAGGTAGTTCGGGTTCGTCGCCTGAGGTGGCACGAGCCCAGTGCGTTGATGTGGCTATATGTCCCGTTCGGACTGCAATGCAACACCCTAGGTGGACCACGAAACGTACATATGGTCCAAATGGGCCAACTTCACGGAAGAAAAGCTTGAGAGGAGGGTCGCCCTTCCACGGGTGAGTCAACTCCGATGTGGTGACATACCCTGCAAAGGAACCTAGTTTGGAAGCAGCGGGGATGTGGAAGGGAGAGGAGAGGCTGGCTTGGGGCATAGCCGATCTTTGTTCCCGGAGGTTTGAGCCAGAGCAGGGAGGATCTGTGCTTAAGTATATGCTTTGCCTTGCGATTACAACAGCGGTACCTCCCTCTCCTCCGACGTGGGTGGGACGTTCGTGAGGGGCGGTGGGAAGCTTGTTGAGGATGGTGCACAGCCGCCGTCGCTGCACAGGGTGGTACACCTCCGCAGGAGCATCCTCTACATTCCGGCACCTCTCTAACTCGAGGAGAACAGGATCCAAGTGTATGTTTCTGCCGAGCAGCATGGCATATAGCAACCCGGAGAAGCGCAGAGTAAGGAGGTTGGCGAGGACCCCGAAGGGTGTCAGGGAAAATGTGGCCGTCGCTGGCACCTTGCGGAGATCTTCACTGCCTTGCAATCCAAGTCGAGTCCACTGAGATAACAGAGAGGTCAGGCACTATAGCAATGGTAATATTGGATAATTATACCATTTCGTCGTCAATTCGTTCAGGTCTGTCGCATGATTCATTCTCAGAACGGGCAAAGTCTGATGGCGACCTTGCAAATAGGTGGGCGGTTGGGAGTTGGTCCCAAGAACATGTGGATGCACAGCCGCGCGAGTTATCGTCCGGAACACGCTGCAACCGAGTGTGATGCAACCCCCAGGCAAAGAGCGAGGGATCCACAGATCTCCTCATTATCTCCTCCTGCAGTCTGCGAAACGCTCGCGTACCCTCGCCATAAAGCGTCGGCATGTGAACATCAAAGAGACCCATGAGACAGTACGCTTCATCTTCAGGACGCGTTGTCATGCGCCGGGCAGCCCAAGACATTCGCTGTGCAATACTGAAGTCTGTAGGATGCTTCGACAATGTGAAGACCTCCTCTGGGATGCCTGTGGATTGATGCAGAAGGGATGCGAGGTCGGCCTTTGCGCCGAGGCTGTCCCACTCCTTCGAGAGGAAGATGACCGTAGATGGAGCGATGAGTTCCTGTAGGGTCCACCCCCGCGTGTGCCATGTGCTGCTTTTGAAGCTCTCCTCCCACCTACTCAAGCCAGGGCCAGTGATCCAATCGGCATCCGCGACTCGCCACTCCAAGAACCCATACGGGTGAACGTCAGAGAGATATGCGTAGCACACCTCCGCCAGCGAATAGTAGCGGTACATTGAGTTGATCGCCTCGGAGAGCTCAGAGCTGCTCGACTTGTCGATGCAACACATGTCAGCCCAGGCCCATTCGTGGCCCCAGCTCTCCGCGCGTTCGCAGAAACGCCGGATCTTCGGGTGTGCGCGATCTCGTGGATTTTCTCCCATGAGCTTGCATCGCTCGCAGAGGGTTTTAAGATCCTTGAAAGACAGCTCCTCGTTCCCCCACACGTGGGACAAGATTGCGAAGCCGCCAGGGACCGCCTCAGGACCTATGAACTCATGCAGCTCGGCGCGCGCGGTAGACAGGAGCCACATGAGAGGAGAATAAACGCGGACTACTTATAATCTGGTCAGTACAGCGACGGTTTGTGGGAGAGGCGAGATACGAGATACTGACTGACATTGACTGTGGGACGGGAACGACCGTAGATGGAGGGAGCTACTAGTACGCGGCAGTGGCAAGAAACGGAGAGAGAGACGTAGTCCGAAAGACTGCAACCCAATGTCAGTTCATGGAAACAGGTGAACGGTGCGGGAATCCTCACAGCTGACGGGTTCTAGGAATGGCGGTTGGCTGGTGGTGGTGGTCAAGTACCGAGGAGGACGTGGTGGTACGGTATCAATGTCATCATGGCCGGCTCACACGCGGGTGCTTCGAGGCTGTGCAGCATGCCCATGGGACTTGGCGGTGCTAGATTCCTACGAGTCCGGACGTCCGACATCGTTATGCTCAAAGGATGCACGTTTCAAAGTAGAATGGAATACATGTAAATTTACCGAGGGCAGCGCTCTGACACAAGGATGCTAGACATGTCGTTCTCATTGTCCGGTACTTAGCCGTTGATGGGTGTATATATATATCACTTAGACAGTTCAGTGGAATGTACAGCAGTGCGAGCAGACACCGCGCAGAAAGAAACATCTGAGGAACACGTTCAGATTCCCACTCGAGACCATCCGTCCGCCAGACTCTGTATACCGGACGAAGACGTCACAGCAGATTCGACGCTTTCGAATGACGACCAGCTCGCTGCTGAGAGCGGGCGCGAGAGCGGTTCTTCCGAAGAGAGTGAGGGGTCGGAGCCATGGCTACCTAAAACCCACTCGGTATCGGAGAATGCGTCCTCGACCTCGCTGTCTGGGACAGGAGGATAGTCTCTCCATCCAGAATCCGAGTCGAGGTCAAAGCCAGAGTCAAAGTGGCGCTGCCACTGAGCAGAATGAGGAGCAGTGGGGTGGGAGGCTGCAGACGATGCTGACGATGTCGAAGGCGTAGGGGAGGGCGAGCGAGTGTCGGTGTCCGCACACGACGAGACGTCGGAGAAGAAGAACGGTTCCGTATCCGGCACCAAGCGCACAGTCTCCATGCTGTTCGTCCTCCGGATGCGCATGCGGCTCTCGTTCGCCTCCCATCGCAGGAGCTCCTCGCGCTCGCGCTGGTGGCGTTCGAACAGCTCGTCCCACAGGTTCCGCGGCGCAGCGCGCCGCCGCCTGCGAACGACCCAGTCCACGTCAACGATTCCCATGTGCGTGATGTCCGCCCAGGCGCCCTCTGCGTCGCACACCGCACCGCGGTGGATGCCTTCGTGTGCGAAGCCAAGCGCAGTGAAGAGGCGCTGCGCACTCTCGCGATAGGGGGAGGGCATGATGCGGGCTTGCACGCGGTGTGCATCGATGCTCTCGATCGCCCACTGCACCGCGAGAGCACAGGCGCGCATGCCGCAGCCGCGGCTGCGGTAGGGTGGGAGGATGAAGACGCCGACATACACCTCCCGCGGGATGGACGACATGGTCACGTAAACGACTCCGATCGTCTTCCATTGCATGACGGTCGGAGTCGCTGGGTCCTCCTCCTGAGTTGGCGTGTCCTGAGAGTTCTGGGGCGGCTTCTCTGGGGGTGCGGTGCTAGTGGGAGTGGGAGGATCTACGTTCTTCACTTCGTGCTCGCGCCGGCGTGCCTCCTCAAACTCCGGGGTGAAGACCACTGGATTGTCGACGACGATGGGGCAGTCGTGTCTGGAAACCGTGCTGTGGTCCGGAAGTCCCAGCTTCTCGATCTCGAGCGAGTCGGCCCAGTCGGGAACGGGCACCTTGACGGGCGAACGGATGGCGGCGAAGAGGAGGGCATCGTTGTTCGCAAAATCGAAGACATCTGGTCGTCCGGCAAGCGCCGCCTCCACGGAGACTGTAGATAACTGTCTCCAGGCAGAAGCAAGGCCTCTAGGGTCGACTACGGAGGTGTTGTCAATAGCAGTTTCGAGGACAACGGTGCCCTCCAGACGCGAGGGAGCAATGAAGCCATCGGAAGGCGGATAGATAATAGCATCATCGGGTTTCTGTAGCAGATGAAACACGGAAGAGGGAGGCGGCAGGTCGCTCATGGTGGAAGCAGAGGAGATGGAAAAGAGGCTATCATCGCCTATATAGTAGGCGCAACGTGCACTCGGCGCTGCAGAGACTCCCAGGAGACTCGATTCTCCGAGATAAAGTTTGCCTTCGACAGATCTCAGTAAAGCCATCATTTTCACTGCAGACTCACCAACTGACACCGGAGATTTGATACGGACGGTGGCCTAGTCATCGACTCGGCGATGACTCGAGCCACAGCCTACAGCAGCGCTGTCGCCCATGTGCCTATGTGGCCCAGGACTAGTGATAAGGGTCAGTACGACTGAGCGATGAGTACGCTTCGGCAAACTTTGCACCTTGAGGCACAACTGCGATCACGAGTCGTGCGCGCTGAAAGACAGCCAGACCCAGGTATGGCCGTGGTTTTGCTTCGGGCTGTCTGGCTCGGTATAATGCGCGTAGGGTCTAAGCCATGTCTGTGGACAGCTCCGAGTTAGAACCAAGGTTGTGTCCAAGTTGCAAGGAGAGCCAATTTTCCTGGAGACGACTCGGTACGCGATCCAGACTCAGAGTAAGTATGTGCCAACATAGTTAACCGTCATTGAATCATCAGCCAAACAGCTGAAAGATTTGAGGAGCTGAAGACGAACCTTGCATCGCATGTTCGTACTGTGACTAGCATGGATGCGGGGTACATACAGTGGCGGATCACAGTTAAGTACATGGAGGTCGAGGCTAAGTCGTATGCGCGACTCAAAACCGTGTAGTAAGTAGAGTACATACAGTACGTTGCATATGATATGCGCGTTTGGTCTTTGCTGTGCACGGGCACGTGGTGTAGTTGGTTATCACGCTCGCTTAGCAGTCTGCCTTAGTTGCGAGAGGGGTCCGGTTCGATCCCGGACGTGTCCATTTTGTTGACCCCATCTGGCATCCACCCCGGCTTAATTTTGACAACAGTTCTGCTAGGTCATCGTCTTGCTGGGTGGACGCGGACCTTCTTCATGCTCATCCGTTGAGTCTGCATTCAGAGCTTAGTGGTTGATCCCGAGAGATCACCGCCCGGTGTTTTGTTCGACTGCTTGACCGGCCTCCTCTCCTGGATCGCTATACGCGCCATGGCGTCTGCAGCGACTGCAGCGAGCGTACAAGAAGCACAGGCATGTCAGGCATCTGAATCCGAATCCTAGATGTACTTACGAAGCCCAAGGAATCCTACCGAAAGGGCGCAATCGCGGAACTGGCCAAGGACTTCAATAAGGCGTTCCGGATGTATGTCAAGGCAACGGAACAGTATCTCCACCTCAGCAACCGGACTACAGATGCCAGACTCCGCACAACCTACAAAGCAGAGGCCGCTAAATCACTGGAGCGCGCTGAAAAGATCAAAGCGGTTAGACAGGATGTCACACCAGTCGTGAAAGACGACCTATCCGCAGGTGCAGTCTGCAGAGTTACATGAACTATGTTTGTAAGCAAGTTGACGGTCCGCGTAAATTCAAGGGGAGCAGATGTACGTGCTACGAAGATCGTCGCTCATAAACCAAGGGTTCTTCCCGCCCTGGGATTCTCAAGAGTCCCCAACACCCTCATCGGAGTGAGTTGGCATCTTGGATGGAGTACGGACTCGCATTGATGATATCATTCTCAGACAGCCGCCTTTAACTACAGAGCAGATCGCGCAATCTGCATCATGGCGCAGATTCCGCTCCCATTGCGAACCTGATTCCCAAGAAGGGGCATATGATTTGGACCCGCAAGGTGTCACACAACACATCGTCTCAGACTGCTCGGTATGCGCCGCGATGGTCGTTGCGATTGACCATGATCGACGGTTCAGTTCCAAGGTAATCCCATATCGTCGGGTTTCTGAGTTCGAAGATCTCAGTCCGGTTCCAGATGATCCTATCCTCTTTGCACTCACAAGCAGAATCCGGCCAGTTCCAATGCAAGCTTCTGTTTAACGGGACCTTCCGACGTGTATGTCTCTGTGGCCATCCTCTCCCAACCCATCCTTACTCTACAGATTATTCTCATCTCATGTTCCAGATCAGTGAGTGACACCTCGTATGCTTACACTGCTTATTTCATGATCGTACTAGGCATCGACGATCAGCTACCTGCATATCCAGATGGAACACTAATGTGCGTTTCGACGGGAACCAAGGGTCACCTGTGGCCGTCACTTATCGAGAAGGCCGTGAGTACCACTTGCAATATCTGCGCTTTCCCTGTCTCAAGCCAAAGTCGCAGTATATGAAGCTTACCGGGGGATATGACTTCGTTGGATCGTGAGTTTGCCCTTCGCCGCTATCATTCAACGTCGACTGACACCCGCACAGGGATTCGAGTACGGATCTTCAGTAAGCCTGAAGTCATGCCATTCGGACGGTCCCTTCCCGAGCTCAACATCCTGCCGCTGCAGTGCACTTGCGGGTTGGATACCAGAAGCTCTAGACATGAAGGGGTATAAACGAATCTCTGCTTGTTGAGTCTTTGCTTACAGCCTGCTAGCTCCCACTTTCAGCGAGAAAGGACGTGGAACCGACTCATGAAGGGCTATACTAGCGGTATGTTATCGTGTTTAGTTCATGTGCAGTTCACTCGCTTACAATCGAGAACAGGGAAATGCGTGGCCACGCTGGGTACTGGTGAACAAGTGAGGACGACGAGCTCCTCCTTAGCACTCCTGCCAACCCATTGCTACGCAATCATTGGTCCGTCCTTCTCACGAGGATTCATCGCGCCATGACGGGCTGACCAGGGTCTTAGGGGTCAGTGAGTCTGAGCTCGACCGCAAATTAACTATCTTCGACCCGTGGGTGCAACGGCACGCCGAAGAGGGTCGTGCGCCTACAGAGGAGTCCGTCACAAAGCCTGAACGTGAGTGACCGGGTGTCTGTCTACGAGGTGCACTCCTGAGAGGTCGAATCAGGGACAGTTGAGTTATCGATGGACTCTGTCTACCAGCTCTTCGACGGGCTCTATCTCAGTTGGGATCCTACCATGTTCAAACGCCAGTTCTCCTTCCATGGGTGCGCGAGCGATCATTCTACAGTCATCGCCTGACCGACTGACGCAACCGTAGAATGTGGAAGCGAGACGGCAAAGGCAAGGATACCGATGCATGTGGGCCCCTACTCTTTCATCGCGAGCGCAGGAGTATCTGATCCCAGCACAGCAACACATGCCAGGATACAAGTACAACTGGACCTCCCCACAGACGTTCCGGAGGGCGAGGAAGTGTGGTTACTGCTCACCCGGCACATCCGCAGTCACCGGTCAAAGGACGAGTACATCGCTCTCACGGCACATACAGGCAGTGAAACCACCTACGCGTTCGCCAGCGATGTGCTGTCTACGAAGGTCTGGTCATGGTTACGCTCTTCTTGCTTGGGCATTGTCGTTGCTAACCGGAAACTGATTCAGGGAGAGTACACCAACTCACCTCACGTCCTGGTGAGTGATATGCTGAGATGGCTTGTTGTCGAGGCTGAACGGTGTGATAGGTCAAGCAAGTTATCTCTCGCACAGAGGACTTAATCTCGCTCGTCGCATCATATGAAGGAGAACGCGAAGACGTGGGGTACACCATCACGGTCTACTCTAACTACAAAGCATCAGCAATCCTTCCGCAGAAGCTCCTCTACACGAAAGACGTACGTTCGATTTCCCCTCCACACCTCTGAGCTCTTCAACCCTAGGGTACCAAACTCACCTGGTCCACAGATCGAAGGGGCGTTCACGCAGAAGACCGCTGGTGGGAACCACACCTACCCGACCTACTACCTCAACCCGCAATACCACCTACATGTACATCCCCGTCCAGACGCCTCCTCTCGAAGCAGTAGAGATGCCCGAGATGCGAAGGCGACTGTGTCAGTCACCGCAAGTACTGACCGACACATCCCCGTCAACATCATGCTCGCATGGTCCCAAGGTGGACGCATCAACGAGTCAGTAGCACCGCCAGCATCTTGCAGCGCTTCCGAGTCACTGAACAGCGGGGTATGACAGACTGGGCCATAACGACCTCGCGCTCTCGTCCGGACCATACAGCTACGGCTACGCGCACGCCTTCGGACGCATCCCGCGTACGTACCGCACCGCACCGCACCACGTATCCCTCATCTCAGCGCGCTGATCGAACAAGCAGCCGGAGACTACACGCTCGTTCTGTCTCCCTTTGAGCCCCGACATGTCGGCAAGTTCGCATTGCGGCTGGAGTGCTCCGACCGGTTCGACATCATGCCTATCCTGCAGGAGGGCGCTGGGATGTTCTCCAAGGTTGTCCGCGGTGAATGGTGCGATGCAGATTGCCATCCCAGGCGCAGGCCACGTACACTCACACGCGATCCGAACCCACAGGACCGCCGACTCCGCAGGAGGAGGCCCGAGCACCGGCAAGTACGCATCGAATCCAATGTACGAGCTCCACGTCCCGTCCGCATCCCAACTCAAGTGCGTGTCCTCGTTCATGCATTATCTCCGAATTGCTCGCTCACGCACGGATCTGACCTCCACACGCAGGTTCCGTCTCCAACTCTCCGAGCCATCCCCTTCGATCGCACTCAACCTCACCGTCTTCAACACGTCTGCTGGGTCCACGCTGGGACGCCACATCGCGACCTCGGGCCCATACTCAGACAGCGTCTCCGGAGTCGTCATCGAGAACCTCACTCTCCAGCCAGGCAGATACCTCGTCGTGCCGTCGACGTACAAACCCGGAGTGCTCGCGGGTTTCCGATTGGTAGTCTACAGCACAGTGTCTGGTGTACAACTTAACCCCGCCAAGCGGTAGCCTCGTCCCCTTTGTATTCTACTATGCATGTAGAGTACATTATCTTCGTGGCATGTGTACCCGGAATGGAGTGTTGCTCCACCCTGCTCTTCATCGTCGCCGGAAGGACGGAGACGAGAGCAGAAATTCGTTAACCCGCTTGAGCGTCACGCGGGACGGGTTCGCAGCCGGCCTGCTCGCGATGATCCACTGCAGCCGCGTCCGGATGGACTCCTTACTGGAACAAGCGGCTGAAAGAAATAATAATCCATGGCAGTCAGCGTCGACCGTACATCATGACAGCGTACAAACCCTACCTTGCACACCAGGCTCGACCGGCTTTCCCTCGTCATCGAAGAACAGCTGGATTGCAGCGAGTGCGATACCGACGCCTGCGTCTCTTCCAGAATCGCAACATACGCATATCGCATCCCCGATCGCTAGACGGTCCTCGATGTAATGCGTGGCGGCTGGGAGGACATGTTGGAGGAAGTGCAGCTGATCTTTCTTCCCCTCGGCGAGCCTCATCCGCAGGACACGCGGTTCCTCCGGCGCGCTGTGGCTAGTGTCGCTATCGCCGTCGGAATCTGATGAGGGTGAAGCGACATTGGCAGAGACAACCACGAAGGAGACTGGTCGGTCGACGGCGGGCAGCGTCGGCGGAAGCTTAGACGGCATGTCCGAGACCGCTCCTATGAGGACACGTCCATGGACCGCTGCTATCGGGGTAGGGAGAATGGTCCAGATCGCGCCACTACTGAGGACCTTGGACTGCGCAACAAGCTTCGCGACCACCCCAGGCAGGTCTTCTCGGTCGCTCTTGAGCAGCACGTCCTTGTGCTGCCAGAAAATCTTCGGGGTCAGTCCCTATCAAAATCAGGAGGGCGTTAGAGCGAAGACAAGCAGTGATAGAACACATAACAAACCATGCCCCAAAGTTCGTGATCGTCGCCCGACCCTTGGACGTACGAGAATCCGTGCGAACGCCGCTCAACTCCTTCGCTGACCTGCTTGGATGCGGAGACGCAGACGATCGGGGAGTATTGCAGCTTGTCCAACGGGCGCAGGACGGGAAAAACAGACGTGGCAGGGGTGATCCAGAGGGGGCGAAGGGGCCGTGAGAGCGAAGGGA